CCCAATGTCACACTCTCACAGTAAGTGTTGAATTCTAGTAGCATTTAGACTAAGATGCTTCCTTCTGTGGTATGGGAACAGGGATGGAGATGGAGATGGAGGAAGAGATATATAAATATGTATCTCACTTCATTCTCTGCCATCTGTATTTGGGAAAAAAATATATTAAAATGACACCAAGCACTGCATATGTAATTATGTGTAATTATACTTATGTAAGTATGCATAATTATTATCTATCACCCAAGAAGATAGAAAATCTTCTAAAAATTTGAACATGAATTTGTATTAATCATGTTTTTATATTTTTTGTATTGTCTGATGCTTTGATATCTTGAGTCCTTGCCGACACTGGAGGGACTGCCCTTCCCAGGGTCATCGAATTCCTAGAGAGAGAAAGTGTGCCTTTCATACGCAAGCGAACCAATCCAGATTTTGAACTCCAACAATCTCCTTTATCAGGCTTTTGTACTCTGGGCCACTATCCCCCTGCCCTAATCACCACAGGGCCAGGTAACAGACAACTAGGGGCAGCTGCTACACCCCGGAGCCACTGAAATGATTCAAACTAGCCAATCCTAAGCCTGCTTGCCCTGCCTTGCCTTGCCTTGCCTTTTCCATGGAAACCACAACAAAGGCTGTTGCCCATGTTTTCCCCTCACTCCTTCTGCCTCCTGACCAACCCTGGTGCTTCCCCATGTGGCCCTGTGTGGCGTGCCATGCTCCCCCTCTTGGGAACCATGAGTAACAAACTGTCTTTTCAAAAGCAATCATCTCCAGGTAAGGTGCTGACCTCACCATATACATCACTGAATATAATCAAACCTACATTTTTTTTTTTAAAAGAGAATCTTAATTCTGAAATAACGTTTTTCCCATTACCTTTTTCCACCTTCACATTTTAGTCATTTTTTTCTTTAAGACAATGTTAATTTTAAGAAAATGTTAAGGGAAATGTTTATCAAAACTTTTCATATTAAAGCACAATATATTGTTCAGAAACAGTTTCTTCTAAAAATGAGTTTATTTTGGCCACAGTCAAGCTAAAGGAAAGGAAAAAAAGCAACTAGGAAAACAAAAAAGTCTTGTCCAATGTTAACATCTGCCTTGGTTCAAGAGGGATCAGAAATATGAACCACAGACGTCTCCTTTTTAATGCTTGTCCAATAGACTGGACAAAAGTAAAATTCACAAATAGAGAAGCTCTCGATTTGACATCAAGACAGACAAATTCTGAAGGGTTACTGGCCAGGAACACAACTCTTCACAGAGTATTAAAACCATTTTGCACAGTTCTTGGTCATTATAATCAACAGGGTATGGTTCATATACAGGCATTTCCCCGGTTTTCAAAATAAAGTCATTTTAAAAATGAGAATCTGCCCTCCATCACCTTGAGAAATACATGTGCCCTTCCTTAGAAGTTCCAATAAGAATAGTATTGTCCCAGACAACCCGGCCCCCCCTGCCCCCAGGGGGCCTACAAAGCCATGTCCATTTTGAAACTAGAGAATCGTTAACTAAGAGATCTTAGAAGATTATGCTGCTTTGTTTTAAAAGCAGATGGTTTTCTGTATTATGACTAACCACTAAGCCATTTAGCCACTTTAGATTGAGATTTTAGAGTCATTCCATCAGAAAAATCTGCTCTTTGGGGATGCTGTGCTGAGAAGGAATGTGAGGCGCATCTCCCTTCTCAAAGGTGTTGTGCTTTGTTATCCTTAAACAAACTGTTCTCCCTGCCTTGTTGGAGCAATGGCCCCTTTGACTCCGGAAAACTTAAAAAGCTGCCTGTGATTTCCATGATAAGTGCTCTCTAAAGGCAAGGAAGGGAAGTTCCATTTCCTGGGTGTATCTGCCATTCCAGGCACTGTGCCAGTCACTAATAGATGGTCTTGCAGGCTCTCAAGAACTTTGAAATAGAAGAGAACCTGCCCAGCTTCACAACTGAGGAACCGACATGGAAATAGGTGAAATACCTGGCCCCCTGGCCCATGGCTGTAAGTAGGAAAAACGGAATTAAAATCTAGGCCCACTCAACTGCATACACCTGTCATTTAACTCTTCCCGGGCACTGCTCCTTGGGAGACGTGAAATGAGAAATAGCAGTCTTCATCGTACAAATTGGAACTTTTCTTCAAAGAGATCCAAAAGATTATCCAAATCTCAAATTGCTCCTGAAGGAGTTAACAGGAAGGAGTTCAGGAAGGAATTAAAAGGCAAGATCATTCCTCCTTTGGAAGCACAGAGAGAATTCTACACCAAGACTATCTACAGCATCTAGAACTTCTGCGGCTGCACACTTGAGGGCCTTGGCCAGCTTTCAGTGTTTTTGCACAATGGTCTCTAGGTGGCGCAATGAGCGCGTGATTCCCTTCACTGAGGCTCGTCTACTGGCTGACAGGGCGTTCAAAGTGAAAATCTCTGCTTGTCAAAGCTGTTGGATCATTTCTAGCATTACAAATCATTACTAAGTAGTCTTTCCAATTTCCCAACTCCCTGATGCAAGATCGTGGCCTGGGAGAAGAACCACGGAAAATAAAGGAAACCAACACTCTCTTTTGGTTATTCTCTGGTCAAGGTCTTTGTTTTTTCTAAAATGACTTTTCAAGTCCTTGGAGAGGAGGCCACAGAACTGCTAAAGGCCTTAAAACTGCATCAAATCAGCCTTCAGTTTTAGAAAACGCATCGTTCTTCATAAAGTACTCATGAAGCAAAACACTCAGCAGACACTGAAAACTAAGACAGAGATATACTCTAACACCACTATGGAAAGAATTAATAATCATGTCAACACAGATGGAACTACATTGAGAAAGACCACTCAGAGTTTGGCTCATGGAATACTCTGGTGATTTCACACAGGGACCAGCGCATGAAAATAAAAAGGGAGATGCTTCATACCTTCCATCCTCATTATGTGTACCCTACCTAAAGACCTGTAATTGTCCGAGTCCCACCACATGTTCATCCCCCAATTTCCTTCTTTCTTCCCTCCCTCTGACACATGGCCAGAAGGAGAAATGACACTGTGCATTCTGGGACCCAAATGCCTCGACAAAAACCACTAGGACCTGGGGCATAGACACAATGAGTGCCAGGGGCAGTATGTGTAAAGAGCTAGAGTTTTGCATGTTCTACATGGTTCAAACACACCAGAAATCCAGGGAGTACCAGAAGGAGGAAGATGAAATGGCAGTAGCTCAGGCATACCCTTCACCCAGGCTCTCCACCAGGACAAGTGGAATCAATTGGGAGCATTTTGAAATGCACATGCCTTGATCTCTTTCTGGGCCATTTGGATATAACTTGAGGGTCAGAAAGAGTAGGTGATGTTGCAAAGCTTCCCAGGTGATTTGGATACACTTTACTCGACACACAAAAGTAAAACCTGAAAGGAACTAGGGTGAGGTAGAATGCAAGCCCCATCCATAGTCCCTCCTCGAAATCCCTGGTAAATGGGCTCTGCCAACATGCAGGTAGGAGAGAGCAGACCAGGGCTACCCAGAAGCCTCGATCATCGACACATACCAAGTACAGAGAGCTCTCACTAGGTCCATCAGTTATGAAACATTTTGCTAAAATTTAAAAAATAGATCCAATTAAAAGATCAAATGGAATGTCAAAATATGGAATATGATGGGATAAAAATGATGTCGTCATACCTCTGCAAAGCAAATCCCAAAGCTGAATACCATGTCTGACAAGAATTCTTATTAGAAAAGACATGTTAAGATTACCACTATAAAAACAATAACTTATCAGATTGTTAGTTGGCTTTTTTTTTTTTTTTTTTGAATTCATGAAACACTATTGGAGAGGTTCAACAAAAAGCACTCTGATCCACTGCTGGTTAAAGTAGAAACTCCTCAGTGTTTGCGGCCAGTAATTTGGTAATATCAAATTACTATGGGAATGACAGTTCCACAAATTCATTCTAATAACGTGATCATGGACATGCATAAACCCTGGGCAGCCAACATGTTCATGATAGACTTCAATGGTAATTTCAAAACATTGAAACTTTCAGTAAAAGGGCTTGGTTAAATAAACTGTAGTCCATCCAAATAATGCAAAGCTCCTCAGTAATGAAAAACAATACATGTTAACTGATGTGGAAACATTTTCAACGACAATTCCCCTGAAAACACAAGGTTTTCCAAATAACACATACAGCATGATACCAATATGCACAAATAGTTGTGTGTGTGTGTGTGTGTGTGTGTGTGTATGTATTCAAGGAAAGAGTATTGCAATTATAAAATAAGGACTGGTGATTTCTAATCACTGAAGACAAAATCTCATTTATGTCATTTATGATGGAGGTTAAAATGGAAACTCAACTTTACACCTGCAGAATTTGAGATTAATTAGCCCAAGGTCATGCAAAAACATGATGATGATACAGGCAAGAATGGAATGCAAGTAGAAACAAGAACAACAGATTATATTCAGGACAAGCTGTGTTCTGATTTGCAAACTGAAAAAAAGAAAATCTAGGAGATTTAGCATTTGTAGCAAGATAAAATTTTTAGGAAAATATAAATTGCATAAATCTCATCATGATTAAATTTCAGGAGATTCTCAATTCAATTTTGATATGAAATAGATATATGTAAGTAATCCAATCACTATCCCAATAATAAGATCCATTCCACAGTTGCCATCATCCATTTAATTCAAATAGAACCTTAAGCATCTTCTGACGTAGCTTTAACCAAGTCTAGATGCATTCCGGGCTAACTACTCTTGGTTACACTTAATCAGAACTGAATAAACAAACTCAGTATTAGTCACACTTGTGCAAGTTATTCCATTTCAGTGCAGCCAGAAGAGATTTTCATGTGATCCTGTTTAAACCAGCTAAACATCTGGAAAATGTGGAAACTATTCTGTAAGACGCAAGAGGACCACACGCTCGGAGGAGACATCAGTTATGCGGCTGAGGTCAGACCCCGGGATGTTGGAAGGAGAGAGCTTACTGGAGATGCCTTACTTACAATGAAGCCAAGTTTTTTATAATCCCGTGTGTACATGGATTTGCGTTTCTCCATGCTGCCACTGCTGTTATTAGGTTCAGACTCTGCATCAAAAGCAATTCTTCGAAGTTCAAATATGATGTCCCTCTGAGCCTGAAGGCGTTAGGGAGGAAAAAAAGGAGAGGGCTGTTTTCATCGTGTGATATTACATATACTCCTTCTTTCCCCAGGGTCTAAATGAATCACTGTATTCAGGCAAAAGAAAAACAGATAAAGACAACCAATGTTCTAAGTTACGTCTCTGCATACTTCTCCTCCTGTCATTCTCCCTGCTGGTTAGTCCTGGCTTTAATCCACAATTATCCTCACGGCCAAATCATCTGGAATACTTATGTCAATTGTCTAGTGAAGTTCTAAATGGAGCCCCAAATATAACAGAAGGCTTATGATTGGAAAAAGCCAAGTTAGAGAACCTGGAAGGACTGCACTGTAGAAACTGAGGCACACAAGGTTTATGAACAATATTCAAATGACAAGGGATCCCTAACTCCCCTAAGAAGTGACTTCATGAAACAAACCCTTATTGGTTAAAATGGTAAGTTTTATGTTATGTATATTTTACCACAATGAGAAGAAAATACTTTAAATAAACAAAAGGAAGGATTTCCAAACTGGGAGGGCTGTTCCACATGAAGATGCATTGCCTTCCATCACTGGAAGTGGTAAGACGACAGTCTCATCTCTCTGGGATAGACTTGGCCTTGCCAAAAGTCTGGGGCACGCTAGATGGCCTCTCAAAGTCTCTCCATCATTCTTAATCGCATGGCCTCGTGCCATGAATGAAGTGCTACAGCAGTTACACACTTCACATGTGCAGTTCACATCTGCGATAGATCAGGCCCTCACGTGCCAATAATGAGTGTTTTCCTTTCCAAAGCTGCAGCGCTGTTTAAGTTGAAAATGTGCTACAGCAGGGCTCCCAGCTGTTTCCTCTCACTTCCTCATCACACAGTCAATTTCCCCAAAAGCCTTTTGGATGGAGACATTACTTTTCATGCACAACAACCTGAGACCTAGAGAGAATTAGAGCAAACAGCCAACCGACAAAAATGAAAGCTCCAGAAATCAGGTGTAACCCGGGACCCCACCCTTGGCACTTATCACTGAAGAATGGAAATTACTTCCTCAACCTGCAGAATCAGTAACACACAGAGCTACCAAGTCGCCCTAGTTGTCTGGGAACTTGACTCCAAAACTGTTACCATTGGCGGTATTGGGGCCAAGTATCAAGGTCTGTGGCCATGTGACATCAAGCTTTCTTACCCCATAAAGGAAGAATATGCATGTGTTTGATGAGTAATAAAAAAAATCCTTTATTTTATTCTCTGATCCTAGATTCACCTGAATTTTAAATACATTACCCCAAGTTCTGAAATGATAATAAAACAATATCATCACCTAAAACCTCTTTGTTTTGGAGTAGCCCGAGAAAAGACTTTTAATGACACTTTGTCTCCCTCCTGTGCTTTTACTGCTGTCTATTGAGCACTCACCTGGTCCTGGGGGTCCATCTTGGTCATCATCCTGTCTTCCAAGAGGTTAAAGGTAAGTACTTGCAGCACATACAGCTGGTGCGCCATTTCATTGTTGATGGCCCGCTGAGCTCGGATGACATGCTGGGGAGATGGTTCACAAATGAAATTTTAAAAAAAAGGAAGAAAGGAAAAGCAAACAACAAAAATGAACCCCTGTCATTTTGCCAAGTAGAACCCCAGAATTCTTCATTTAGAGGCACGAGGGATGTAGGTTGGTGGAACCACGCTTCAGAAGAAAGATGAGGACACGGGTGACCTTGGAGCTTTCTTTTACATTCCAGGACCCAATAAGGTTCCTGATCCTTAGGACAGAACCAGTAAAAGACATACTGTGTGCAGGAGGGAGTGGAAGAGGGGAAGACACTGGAAACACACGGTGATTGCAGCCATATAAATCCTATAAAACCTAAAGAGAAGGTGTGCCTGAAATGAGAGTATCTTGAAGAGAACACTATGGATTTCTACAACAGAAGCATTCCTTGCATCCAGTAGAGGAATAAACAGTGCACACGTATTGCAAGCAAATTTGCCATTATCTTACCCTAAAAGTGTCTCTGACAGGTGATCCCACTTCTAAATGGGGAAAAGTTTTAGAAGCAAGACACAAAAGCAAAGTATCTATCAGGTTTGTAGTTAATTCACTGTGGAAACTATACAGAGACCACGGTCACCACTATGCAGGGAGTGAATTTATGTGCATTCCTTTACTTTCCCGTTAACAATTAAATGCAAAATAAAATGACCCTTCCTCTTAGAACCAAAATAGAATAAATATAAAAGGAGTGGCAGGAGACTAGGTATGTGGGCCTTTGCCTCCACCAGAGCTGGGTCTGAAATAGGATTCAACATTTGGGCATAACGTACATCCTCTTTGGCAGAGAGCACGACTGTGCCTTAAAAATGCCAAACAACCAGTCAATGTAGTGAAACAACTATTCAAATCAGTTATTTTGAATGTGTTAGACAACTCTGCCTTGCTGTCTGAAAGAACTTTCTATAGGTGCCCCTCAACCTGGCATGCTCCTGGACTCCACACTCCGGCTGTGAGCACCATGTCAAAATAGCCAGTTAAAGAAAGAGGGTTGGGGAGAAGAATGAGGTATAGAAGGAAGTCGCTGAACCAAAATTATGGGGGGTGGGAAGCTAGGCAGTTGGATTGGGGGTTGAATAAAACCCTATATCCTTCAATCTTCAGGACACAATGTTAATTCATAGTATACTTTTACTATCCAAAGTGTATGTGTACCAAAGTATATAGATATCTATTTTATTAGCAACTCAAAAGTATCTGCACTCCAAGTTTTTGCCAGAGAATATCAACCTTGAACTTCCAGCCATCCAAGTCTCATAAAAGAAGTCCCATGAAAGCAAACTGATCTTTCAGACATGGTGGCTACAGTCATTCCACCCACCCCATCCCCGGACATTCTAACTCCGACGGCCACACCAACAACCGGCTAAGACCTGAATTCAACATTTCTGCTCCTTCATCTCGCCACTCTCCTCTCCTTGCACAAACACCTTCTCTCAGCTACAATTTAATCTTGCAGCTTCCACTTGTATTGAGAGCCAGCATACAGAATAACCATATTATAAATCCTTGTGCAATTTCTACGAAACTATTCTTGGACCTAGAGTCTATTAGAATGCTCTACCAATACCCATTTCAGATTCTAGTTCCAGGGGGAAAAATACGTCATCTCCGAAGAACTGGGGTACCTCTTTTATCAAACCATAAAAATTACACTCATATGGTTTCTCTTTATCCTTGACAGTCAGGAAGTTTAAAATCAAACTTGATGACAAATTGTAGTCATTACTATTGGCTTTGGGTTCTAAAATATTTATTTTGTTTGCCCTTATAAGGTTTTTAATTTTTAATGGCCTCATTGTATTGGAATGTGTGTGTGTGTGTGTGTGTGTAATTGTAAGCTTGCAGAATCACACAAGCAGAAATTTTTTTTTTTTTGGTAAGGAGGGGAATCAACCACACGTGCTTCTTTCAGCCTTTGGTTAGAAGTCAAGTAGCAGATAAGGCCTCAGGAAATCTCGCTATTTGATTTATTTCTAAACATTCACAACGTAACACGTAGGGCTTCTTTTCCACCGAGGTTTCAGGTCATTTTTGCATTGCCGTTAATGAGTGGGTTCCTTGTATGTCTTTCCTGCCTTTCTCTTGCAAAGGGGCCCAGGAAATGATGGTCAAAATTTCAGGACTTCTGAGGGTCTGATATGTTTCCAAATAGCTCTCTCATTAAAAACAGTAAAAGCTCAGAGTGGTGGATTTTTCACTTATGGAGCCCCTGATTTCCTGAAATGCAAAGCTAAAGCTACAGAAAGTGTAATAAACCTGCCCACTGAGATTTCCAGCCCTTCCTGCCAGAACGTCTTTCTCTCTAGAGCAGTTCCAGAGACCCCTCCCTCCAACCCTATAAAGCCATTCCCTTCGGGAAAGCCTTGTTTACTCCAATTCTAAAAGCACGCTTCTTCCCCCTCTCTAGTTCCTACTGCTTCACCACAGAAGCGAGTCACAGAACAAACCACAAACTGAAGCCAAAAGAGGAGACAAATAAGTGCACCAGGCCATTCCACCCCACCAAGTGTTCACAGCACAGAGACACTCACTGTTAAAATGATGGAACGCAGTTGCTTCTGAGCCAAAATATTCGCCATCTCCTGTTGAAGAAAAACACACCCACACAAAAGCTTAGGTTAGAAAAGATACATTTCAACATGGTCCAAAATGACTTTATTTTGGCATGTGCTTCGTAACTGGATATCAGCAGTATTTCTTATGAAAGAATGGACTCAGATAGTAGTATTCAAATTACTGTTCCAATGTTCTGTTTAGATAACAAAGCCATGTCCAAAAGCAAAGGAAGGAAATCTGGGACTCGCAAACTTCATTTTTTTTTTTTTTCCCAGGAATTTCCTCCTTCCAGGAAAAGGTGAATGCTCAATAAAATCAAACACTCCAGATGAAAGCAATGGCTCTCCATTAGAAAGGCTCATCAGCTTTTATTAGACTATATTGTGCAGAGTGTTTTTAATGGGCAACAAATACCTGCACCTAAGAGATTCCAATACTAGAGAACCATTATTTTAAAGATCTAAGTCTTCTAAAAGCCATTTCATCTTCATCTGTGCAAAACCAAAGAGGGGGTAGTACACACCCCAGGGCTTAACAGTCTATGCACATGAAGTGAGTGGAGTTTCAGCAAAGGACAAATATCTGGGCAGATGCTAAGCTCTAGGGTGGCACTCAGCATTGCCAGGCCTCATTTCTGCAAGTTGTGCTTTGTGCTTTTTCTGCCTGACTAGCAGAGATTTGCAGGTGATTTTATTAAATGAAATGATTCACAGACACCCTTTCTCAATACTGACAAACAGATACTAAAGAAAAATCAAATCATTGAGCACAATCTTGGTGCAAACATTCAAAAGCAAAAATACTGCTCATATTCAGGAAGACACTTGAAGGTTGTCTTTGGGTGGGGGTAATTTTAATGCTGCTACTCTTAACGAGAAGAGGGGAAAGAAACTAAGCCAAGATTTAAAAACACAACCATGAATTCGATCAAGGTTAAAATAAACTTGCAGAAAGCAAGTGGAACCCAGAACACGGGGAGGAAGCAGGAGGGGGACACACAGGCAGGGCTGGACAGCAGCAGAATGGGAGCCCGCTCTGTGCTGACGAAGGGAACGCAGGGACTTACAGTCAGAGGACAATCAAGGATGTCAACACTGCTCTCTACACCAACCTAACGGCATCATCGCCACCACAGAAGGGAAAGCAAGCAGGAGAGAAGAAGGGATGGAAATGCAGAGGACTCTGTTAGAGGTTATAGCTTTATTTTAACACCCCTGCGGATGCACTGCATTGACAAGTGCATAAATACTCTAAAGTGATCTAAAAAAGCTAAATGGCATTAAAGTCAAAATCCAGTACTAGGTCTTCTTCCAATCTCTTGAAAACAAGAGAGCATGGACAATGACACGTTCAGAGACAAGATAAATGGCAATCCAGAAGGAACCTGCCTTCCACGGTGGGTGAAATGCAGTGCTTTCTTCCTGATCAAAATAGAAATGTTCATTTTTTTTTCTTGGACCAGATGAAAAACAAAAGGCCCAAAGGACCCTATAGCTCTTTTAATTTCTTTTCTTTCATTAAAATGAAATTACTGCTTAACTGACACACAAACAAAAAAGTAGAAAAAATATTCTCTGTGCCTATTTTAGCCTATTGATTTATAAAATTTTAAAATAAGTTAGAAGGGACAATACATTTCCAACATCTACTAGAACAATTATTGTTATTATCTGTTTACAATATTTATATTCTGCACAAGGCTACGGGCATCTCAGTGGCCCAAAGATTGTCTTTTTCATCTTTGTATTCCAAGCCCACAGCACAATGGTACAGAGTAGACAATAAATGTTTGATAAAAGAATGAATGAATATTTTCTACTGCCTTCCTAAGGAACAGAAGCCTGGTCAGAGAGAAAAACAGGAAAATCCCTGCCCACATCATGGATTTTTTTTTGTCCAAAATTAGGGATCTGCTGGAGTAAACTTGAGAATCCATAGAGAATATTTTATACCACTAAGATGATATCAAAGTATAGATAGATATAAATATGGATATAGTTACATTGACATGAAAAGATGTCCACAAAATCTTGCTTAGTTTTAAAAGTAGTTTAAACAAAAAGCAGTGCATGTAGTATGATCGCATCTGGTGAAAAAATGATGCATGTAGGAGAGTCTGCGAAGAACAAAGCAGGAAGTAGGACCGTGAAAGTCACCCCCTGTGAGTAGTTGCAGTGGTTCCCTCTCTCTGGAATGCAATCAGAGGAGTTTCAAAACTTCTTAATCTGGAATATATATTTTCTAATTTTTCTACCAAATAGTTTACTAAAAAGTTTTTTTTATAATAACGCCTACCAAAACCATAAATATTTGTAGAGAAATTTGGAAGGGATCTCGCTAACACGTTTGCCATGAAAATAGTAAAATGAACAATAGCAAGTAGTTGTAAGGAAGAGGATGCATTTGCTCACCTAACAGCAACCCCTTTCCCTCCATTTGTGCAGGGAAAAGGTGACTCTCCTACATGGGGAGGCATGGGAAAGATGACCCCCGCCCCCCACAGGAGCCAACAGGGGGGCCTCCGCAGAGGAGGAAGTTATATCCCCACCCCAAGCCGAGCCCAGAGATCTCTCAGTAAGGCCCACTCAGTGAATGCAAAACAAAAATATCGTTCGGGTCTGCCTGACAAGTAAAAAGATCTGACTATGGTGGTATTTTTCTTCAGTCAAAGCAGAAAGAAGGTTATAGATGGTTAAAATCCTTCCAAATTCATTTTATACATTTTGAAAGGTAAAGAAAACCCAGATAATGGAGTCCTACCAATGTGTTTGGCTCCAAGTTGGAAAGAAAAGTTGAAATAAATAAAATTTTTTCACCAAAGTAGAATTTATCCATTGTCCTAAGGCTTTAAAAATATAAACAAAAGAAAAAGGTGTTCCTGTAAATCCAGTAAATAAATGTTTAGATTATGTTTTAATCTAATTGGAGTGAGAAATTGGACTTGGTGTCTTTCAGCCTTCAGGGAGTTCTTTACCAGGCAAATACAGGAGAATTCTGTGGGTGATGCCTCCTTGACTGGCATTCAGTGGGATGCTTTGCGGATAAGAGCAAGGAGGAGGTTGGGATTCTAGCTCCGACTCTTAGCTCAATAATCTGGCCAAGTTCTTTATTCCCTTTGACTCTCAATTTTCTCATTTGTAAAATGGAAATAATAAGGCTTTCTACTGATATGAGAATTAAATGAAATAAGACTAAAACACTGAACACTGAGCCTGGCACATGGTAAACTCTCAAAAACTTATCATTGATGGCAGGCTTTGGTAAATTTTCCTATTTGCCAAAAAAATTCAGAACTTTTAATTTTTCAGAACAAAAGCCAGTAACAATCGATATAATATACAGCCACCCAGGTAATATCATTAATTAGCTTGATCTTTTGCTTTGCAGGCTTCCATTGAATGGAAATAACATCAAACTTTTTTTCACTATGAACTTGAAATTATTTATTTAGAGCTAACTTTCTCTTAAGTCACTGAAAAATTTTTTTAAAAATTAAATATCAAAATACTCCTTTTGACTTGACAAACAACAGTTATTGATTCATCTTAAATTCAACACAATTTATAAAGTTCAAGTTAATTTTCTATGGGCAAGTAAGTACCTTGTAGCTATTTTTATTTCAAAGACTAAATTAGTCAAATAATACTTTGTTGATTTTCTGCTTAATTATATACACTCTTTCTTAGTTGGTTTGCTTACTTAAATGGTTTAATGCTATTAGACTACCCTTCGTGGTTTATTATTATTATTATAATTTATGTCCAAATTGAGTCATGTCAGTTTCATATTACCTAATTTTCAAAAAAAAGATTTGATTCACAGAAGCCAAGCCTAATGTTATATTCATATTCCATCATATTTTCATTGTTATCATTGTCCTGGAGTCACTACAGATTGACACCTGATTCCCTATTTCTCCATGGTCACGCAATTCCAGTTCTTTAGATTAACAGTAATTCTTGGTATGACAGTAAGATGCAAAGTGTCTGCATCTTACTCATGTCTAGATCCAGAGATCCAAGTGAAATCACAGCACTTGGGGTAAACATGAGCTTTCATTTCCTCTAATCCAGCCTCTTCTCCCACAGATGGGGAAAGGAAACTCCCCAGAGGTCAGACTCTCTATACTCAGCTACCATGTGGTTTGGCCAGATGTCATTGGTCTGGCCAGTGGAAGGATCAAGCTCCTCCAATGCCCACGTCAGGCTTGTGCATGTGCACAATGAGAGCTTCCAGGCAATTTGCCAGGCTGCTGGGAGTTATCACGAGCTCAGTATTTAGATATAAATATAAAAGGAGTAGCCCCACCCATGATCCCACATAAGATCTGCAAAGCCACCCTTAAAAACCCAGCCTGGAGCACAGGCTTGGGGAGGGCAGGCCCTCCTGGCTCCAGCCAACACCAAACCAAAAGCACATGAAACTATAAAGTCACTCCATTCGCTGTGCAAACGTAGCCCTCAGGAATGAGCAAACCATCCTAAATGAAAAAGAAACCAGAAACCCTCACATTTAGTCACTGAGGTTTAAAATCCTTGGCAACAAAAAAATAAAATAAAAAAATAAAATTCTTGACACAGTGTTCAGTAGCATGCTAGCTTTCTAAATTCTTCTAAAATAGTTTACTGGTAACTGTCATAGAGCTCCCCAGCACACTTTCTAACAGTTGAAAGATCTCATGTTTCCACCCAGTTTTTAAGTGAAATGAACTGTGACCAAGGTAACACAGTATATGTTATGTTGACGGAAAAAACACGAATGAATTTTGAGGTGGGAGGTAAATTCCAAGACATGCAAAATTCCACTTCTTCCACACCTCCCTCTATAAGGATCCTTTCCCTACTTGAAGAAGAACCAAAGATCTACAGACAAAGGAGAGCATAAAAGGGTATGTTTCATATAGGTGCATTTAAGTGGTTCTCTCCTTTTGTTTACACAGAGGAGGGGAAATGGATTGCTCAGTCCTCCCAGCCACATCCACACACGGACAACAGAAATATCATCAAGCAAAGGGCTGCTCTGACATGAACCGTTATCTCAACCAGTGGCAGCAACCTGCATATTCTCCCTCTTGTCCTCTCACCTCTCCATCTCACGCTTCCCTGGGCACAGCGTGACATCTCTCAGGGTCTCAGTTTCCTCATCAGGAAAATGGAGACAACACCTCCCCTGCTCCAGTGAGCATTCAGTGAAATGACAGAAGATCACGGGGGCTTCCAATTCTGCTTCTACCACAGCAGCAACACTTTCATCATTTTATGTTTTGGGCTTCTACATTGGGTTTCATTTGATGAAAGGTCTCTACTGCTGGAGCATTGCTAGCATTCTTCCTCAGACAAGGGCTTGCCCAGCTCCATTTAGTTCCCACTGGATTTCTGAATGATCCTAGGCTGGCCAGCCAAGCCACAGAGCAGCAGGGAGGCCCAAGGAGTCCCCGGGATGGGAAGGAGAGGGCTCTCTCTGCACCAAAAGTTGCCCGCCCTGGGCTTAGTCTTAAGACAAAAGAAATACAACTTACCTGCCTCCTCTCATCAGGAGCCTTCAGGAAAAGTGCATTAATCACTGCAATGGTATAGGTTTGGATTTCTTGATCTGTCCTGTAAAGACGCAGAACAATACAGAAAATCAGAAGAGAATACCTCTGAGTCAGACCATGATAAGGCTCATGATCACCTCTCCAAAAAAAGGTGAGAGAGAAAGGAAGCATCTAGAAAATGGAGTCAGAATTGAGAATGTGTTTCCACCACGATGAGGCTGGAAACACAGCGGAGGGACAATTACTATCACTAGCCGGTCAATACACTGCTCAGTGGAGATCTCCCAGAGAGTACAGGGGGCCAGCTGGCTCTCTCCCCTTCTCCCTATTAGGATTAAAAGCATGGACCCGGAGTCCATACATGAGCATATGTGTGTGTATGTGTGTGAGCGTGTGCGTATGTGTAAGTAGGTGTGTAATATTCTGTCTGATGAATGAAGTATATCTGGGAGTAGTATTGGGTGTCCCCACATTCCTGGACTTATTATAAAGGAAACTGCTTTGTCTCCATGGCAATGACATTTTGTATTCTAAAAACCTAGTTCCAAATAGAAACTTTTTAAAACAAGATCAGGTATTTATGTTTACAAATTTGCTTTTTACCAGAATGAAATCAGAAATTCCAAGTGAAGCAAAGATCCAATGTAAGCAGCATGGTAAATAGTAAATCAGAAGGACCCAAGGCATAAACAAAGAGCAGTCTGTGAGCTACATTTAGTGATAATTTGGGGAGAGGCAGGGCTTAGAACACAGCCTTTGGCAGGATGAAATTCAAAGCCCCATGCACGAGAGGCTGGCTGTGTGGCCTCAGACAAGTTAATGGAGTGTCCCCAAGACACAATTTCCTCATCTGTAACACCAGGTAAGAACACACTTATTTCAAGGGGTTGCTTTTAGGATAAAATGAGGTAATGCATATAAAATCCTTGGCACAGAGCTTGGCAAATAACAAACTCTCCACTTTTGGCAAAGTACACCGTGAACGCGAAACTATGCCCTCGAGTTTCAGAGAAAAGATATAGACTGTAAAGTTAATACATTTCACATTCAGGAAAACGTGAAACTGGTATTATTTCTAAAGAAGGTTTCATACAAAATCATCATTTTAGCCCGTGTGCTAATTTTCCCTGAGGCCACAATCCACAGGTTGTGTGACTTAAAATTTTACATTCTGGTCACCATCCTCCATCCAAATGAAGGAAATATCTAGTGCACTTTGGTAGTTTATATTATAAATACAACAGTTAACATTTTTGATATATTGGGAACTACTGAATATTCCCTCACATCTTCACCCTGCACCTCCAACCCAAACAAACCCAAACGGGCCCATCAGGTTTCCTCTTGAGAATTTGCAAACGTGACCCGAGAGCCCAGGGCAGCAGTTACTGGGAGCCAAGGCCCATTAATGCCAGCCAATTCGCTAGAGAAAAGGCCTGTTGTGAGGACTCCAAGGAGGCCACAGTCTCTGTCCTTCCCAAGGCTTCGCTACTTAAGTCATTCCTGGGTTCTACAAAGTACCCCAGTATCCTTTCAATAAGCTCCCTGTCCTGTGTAAGCTGGCCCAGGATGTTTGTTGCCACCTGCAACCACAAATACTTTAATTCATAATGTGGCGTTGTGTAGTTGGGGTCCTTCTCAGTCTGGTATGATCGGAGACAACCTTACTAGTTACCTCAAGTGGAGAGAAGAGAAAAAGCCCCAAAGACTAAAGGCTGCAAGGGACTTGTCTTATAGCTCAAGCCTCTAGAAAAAAATATATACATTATAAAATGCAAAAGAAGACAATCATTGAAATCCCTTTGGGCCTAAGAAAGAAGCCTGCCTTTAAAAATTCCTAATTAATATGAAAATACTCATTATATCACAGACAACACTATTTTAAATGACTAAGGGAAGACTTTGTTGAGAACTTAAGAGAACAAAAACCTATTATGTCTTATTAAAAGTAAAACTCTACTGATATCGACCAACATTCATCAAACTGAGTGTGTACTAAGGGCCAGCCACCAGGGACAGAAGAGTGCCAAGAACAGGCATGGAGCTCACCCAAGGACAAGTAACTGCCATTTCAGTGTGACGGGGGATGAGCATGGTACCAGATGTGATTATAAGCCAAATAAAGTCTCTTTTTCCGTATATTTAATCAAACCAATATGAAATGTTTCCCAGGGCACTATGGTGGCTGTCTACCTGAAGCATCTCCCCTGGCCGTAGTGGTGGCATCAGCATGCTTACCCTTGAAGATGTGGAATCAGTTGGCCAATAGTGATCTCCTGTGCCACCTTCTGGTACAGGTCGTGGCTATTGAGCACCATCGACTCCAAAATGGCCAAGGATCGCTGCAGGATTGAGATGTCCATGGCTGACTTGTTCACAAAACTTGCTATCTGAAAATCCAAGAGGGACACAATTGACTACTCATGGAAAGCAGAGAAGGGAGCAAATCAAGTAAATTGAGAGCTCATTTAAGAAACACCAGACACTGAGGATGAAAAGTACCTGGAATTACAGCAGATGAGCAAGAAACGCATTGAGTCAACAATGATTGCTCATGACATTATTACAAAACACTATATATATGCTATTTCTGTAATTCAATAATAAGCCACTTTAAAATGGAGACAGCTTCAAAGAATTATTCTGTCTGGTTCTTCTGGGATTATTCTTCTCAGTTTCAGCTTTCAGGAGCAGACGATTTCAGCACATACATTGTAAGGACTCCTGGTTTTTTTTTTGAGACAATAATTTCTACATATACTAATAGCCATTCCCTTCCATTCCCAGGCTACTCCTTCACCCCCACGATCTATGACTTTTATGTTCTTATTATGATCCTGTTACATTCTTAAGGGACTCACACAAATCACACTTGTCAACACAATTCAACTGGCAACTTTTCAGTCACTGGCTACTCTCCTTGTTATTGTTCAGCGAAACACTCTTTGCCCCATTCTTCCAATTTCTTATGGTTAAAATAAATTCTTCCCGTCTCTCAAATTTCGCAAACAGGAAAACACTTAAATTAGCAGTGCTAAAAGTTAAAATAACAGTTTAAGCTCTAAAATATATTCCCTAATAGTTTAAGCTCTAAAATACAATTCCCTGAGGAATTACTCACTAAGGCCTCAAACACAACAAATCACAATGTAAGAGGAAAGCAAAATAAGAGTTAGAATAATGGATCACAGTAACCCAAACACATGGGTACCATAAAGGTTTTATTTTAGAGGCTTCATTAAAAGTTATGACTATGCTGACAACTCACATTAAAAGGCTATTATTATATCAACATAATGACTGCTTTCTTAAAAGCTAAATAATTTGGTTCCATGAGAAGTTGACACTTGCTGCTTCCCCCTGTCGACACTAAGTTTTCCCTTTCTGCTGTCCCATCAACCCCTTCTCCGCATCCCCTCTCCATCCTGTATGAGATAGAATGCAAGGCATTAATGGTGACTTACAGTTACTCTCTCAATTGTTTCTAGCCCAGTGACTCCCTGGTGAAAGTAGGGGTGGGGGGTACAGATACCAACACCCTCTCTGCCCCCAGATCCATCTAGATCTCAGGGAGTGGAAAGTGTATGACACAAAGAAGTTTAATAACATTATGACTTTATATTCCAAGAAAGTATTATTTTATAATACAAACTACAAGAAGAGTATGAGAATTTTAAGATTCTCAAAAGACTGCTTTAGCTCCTTTCATGGCTAATAAACTTCTCCAGCGTGTTTACTGTCCCTGGCAAGGCCCTGCCTCAATCCTCACAGTTAGCTCCACTCTATGGTGCTAAGGTGACCTTTCTTTCCCTAAAGCCATCTTTCTCTGACAAAAATCCAACTATCCTCATACTGTGCTCATGGTTTAACACTTAACATAGACCTCTTCCAAACAGAATATCAATTTCTTGACTTCCCCACCAACACCACCCCAGTCATTTCTCATTATCCCAGCACAGTTCTTGGCACTTATTAGAAAACTGAAAAACTAGACACAGAAGAACTCACAAAGAAGTTTGTTGACAATACCTCTGATTTTCTCTGCACTAATTCTCTCCTCCTTCCATGTTTCTTTTCTTGTCTCCATTTAGTAAATCTGAATGTACCTTCAAGACTCCATGGAGAATCTTTTACCTGAGAACCCACTGTCAAACTCCCTCCCCCACCCTCTAGGTTTCATCTCCTCTTTTCATTCACTCAAGTAGTATGTATTGATCATGTTCCATAAAACAGGCTTGCACTGTCCTGGGATCTGGAAATAGAGAGATGAGCAAAACCCACATGATTTTTAACCTCAAGGACCTTATAGTCCAGCAGAGACAGATAGATAAAAAGGCATTTACTATGAAGTATGTTAAGTGCTTATTCTTGGCATCCAAAAATATACCTCCATTTAGACATTCCAACAAAGCCTAAAATTAAAAGGGGTGAAAACCAATCTCATTTCCTTCTTAATCCTCCCTTCTCGTTATCACTTTTTTCCAAGTTTGCCATAATCATTGGGGATTAATAGTCCCAGTTCTCTATTTTCTATCCCTGTGAACTCATTTGCAATGTCTCCTCTTTGATACACATTCAGTTGTGTATGTGCAACACTGGCCCATGGTCCCACTCATTCCTGTGTTACTAAGACAGCATCTTCTTCAGTTTCCTGTATGTTCAAGATTAGCCTCCAATACAAATTTACCCTTTATGTCCATAAATATCCTTTTGACAATATTTCCTTTCTCAAAATATTCAATCAGAACTCTCAATGTTTTCTGATATAAAGTACACCTTCTTATAATGGGTTTTAAAGTTCTCCGCAATTATTAACTCTCACCTGCTCCCAATGGCTTGCTCAATGGTGATCTTCCTTTAATTCAGGCATATTTATACCCCAAATACATATTCCATTTCCTTTTGCCTTTTCCATTATTTCTCTCCCGTGAAACTAATTCCTTACCTTCATCCAAGTATTCCTTAAAATTAATCTTTTTTATTACTTCACTTCTTCCTTGAAATATAGAAAATCTTTTCAGCAATCCTGATGCAGGTTACAAAGGAGCATTTTGTGTAACACACTTACCTTGAGTACTGCCTGGCAGAGAGCAGGCATGCAACCCATTAGAGTCCTAGGTACAATTCTGTAGGAGATAATAGTCATTTTTTGAAACTAACTTCTATCTTTTGCCTTTATCTATCAGTGGTTTTAACCAGACATTTAAATGACCTGGTATTTTCATCTAATGAGTACTAATAACCAAGCCGTCAGGACTGATTGAGGAATCATAATGACAGTACACAGGCTCTTTATTAGTGCAGGTAAAAATCCATACAAATGTTATTTTCTATGTCAAGTTTAAAAACTATAGAGCTTAGTATAGCTATGAAAGTTTAAAGACTGTCTGGTTAGATTTTAATATCTCCTATCCTCCCCCAAAATCAATAATAACTTCTCTTGCCTTTAAATTTTTCCCAGCTCCATTACTGCCCTTTTGGCCAACACAGGTGAGCCAGCCTAAGCCAAGCAAAGTACAGCTTCTCGAAAGAAGGTCTATATCACAAGGAAGAAGAGGTAAGAGGAGTTAGCAATAGTTATATATACAACCTCCACATGCTTCCATTCACTCAAAAATGTTACCTAAGTAAAATGGAGGAATATTTGGGTGACTTTTAGGAAGCTATGGAACATCACAGTGCATGGACCAACGATACAAACTACTAAAAACACATAAACACTTCTTAGAATCACTTAGCATGAGATCTTACAATTTTCCTATGTTATCAAAACTGAAAAGAACCAGAGAGAGCATGGAGCTCTACTCTCATATTTTAAATTATCTGAGAGAGGCCCATAAATCGCCCAAGTTTTTAAGAGGTAAAAATTACTGAGTCTCTAAACTGAAATGGCTAGATGTTTGTCCAGGCACCAAAAATATCTCAGGGTGAACCAGGCTCTCCTGAAGAGCTAAGATTTCAAGAGCATTTGTATGAAAATTTTCTTCCAAGAAAATGCACTGAGGTTACACTGAGCCAATGGAAAACCAACTCATCACACAAAAAGTTCTAGTTTTTCTTTTTTTCATTTCTTTCGTCTCCATGTCTTCCTATCCTCTCCCTAAGTAGCCAAGTCTTTAAAGAGCAACAACACTATATATTGGCATCAAGGAGTTCCAAGTTTCAAAGTGCCCAGGAAATGATGTTATTTACTGAAGACAAAATTTGTAAACTAGAATCCAGATGTACATATAACAAAACAGATAGTAGAGAAGGAGACAGGAGCTGGCAGGGAAAAAATATTTCTCCAAACTGGTATGAATTTGGCATTAATAGGAAGCCAAGTCTGGATCACAGAGATAAACATCTTTTGTCAGCGCATTTCCTAGTTGATTTTTGTTGAGATAAAGCTCCATTTAAAAGACAGTTGCCTGCAGACAATTCCTGGGTTGTCAAAGTGCTGAATTTGATCCAGCTAATGAATAAAAAAAAGTCAACCTTACAAAAACTATCAATTACAAAGTCATTTTCTGATGACCATTTTTCAAATTCACAGAAGGGGTTGGGATCTAAGTAGCAATGCAAAGGAAACAGAATGAATGACTGGGAATGAGGACATGGAATATATTAAATGTATTGCCTTTCAAAAATACTTAATTTTTTATTTAAACTGCCAAGACTGCTAGCCTTTGCTTCCTTAGATTTAATATAATTTTTGATTTAATTTCAGTGAGTGAAAACCATTTTCTTAAGTAGTTAGAAAATTATTGTCATTTTCTCTAACCACTTCTCACATCATTTAAAGAAAGACAGCTTTGTAATTCTTTTCAATTCATAACTGAAATTTTACTTGAAATATATTTAAGTACAGTGCCACTGTATTCCTTGCTTCTCTTCTTCAAGTTCTAGGGTTTAAAAAAATGCTTCCAGGGGCCGGCCTGGTGATGCAGCCGTTAAGTGCGCGCACTTTGCTTCAGGGGCCGGAGCATTCGCAGGTTCGGATCCCGGGCGCTCACTGACACACCCCTTGTCAAGCCATGCTGTGGTGGTGTCCCATATAAAGTAGAGGAAGATGGGCACGGATGTTAGCCCATGGCCAATCTTCCTCAGCAAAAAGGAGGAGGATTGGCATCGGATGTTAGCTCAGGGCTGATCTTCCTCACCAAAAAAAAAAAAAAAAGCTTCCAAAGCAAATTTCATTCCTTCATTTCGCAGAAATGTATTAAGGTCTTACTCTGTGCCAGGCCCTGAGGATAAAGTCATGAAAAAAGCCATGGTTCCACCCTCCTAGGACTCACGGTCTATTGGGAGAGCCAGTCAAAAGAACAAAAAATTCACAAAAATGTGGTAAAAATGCTAGAAAAGGAGCATACACAAGATCCAAGGAGAATGGAGCTCAGAAGAAATCACTTAACTCTCCACTGGTGAGGTCAGGGAGGGCTGAACAAGAGCAAATGCTGGTTCAACAAGTCTTCAGGAGCTATTGTTTCCATCACTTGAAAGCACAGGTGCATGACTATGGGGGAAGGAGCCTTGAACCATGGGCCCAACAATGCCCCACTCCCTTGACCTCACTTAACCTCCCCAGCCACTGCCTCCTTGCCTTCTGACCAGGAATAACAAGACTGTCTGCTCTGTTCTGGAAATGATTGCTGTGGGCATCAAAAGAGATAATATGGGTGAAAGCACAACAAAATTTCCAAGGAGTTCACATTTAGAACAGCATTATTTTTAATAGCAAAAGAGACTCTAATAACAGACAAGCAAGGCAATTGGAATGCAGGAAAGAAAGGCCTGCCATAAATTCAGAATGAGTTAAAATTTTTAAGTATAAAAAAATCCACAAAACCCAGTATCTTCAGACTGGAAGAAGCTTCTCTAGAACTTTTATCTTAGAAAGGCAAAATTTAGCAATTTGCTGTCTGCATTCATAATCTAATGCTTACATTCCCGGCCACCACCAAAGGAAAGTACTTTAGGCAAAACGTTAACATTAGAGGAAGCTGGATAAAGAGCATATGGGAACATTCTGTACTATTTGTTGCAACTTCTCTATAAGTCAACCATGATTTCAAAATAAAAGTTTTCAAAAATTCAAGTGACACTTACTGGATTTTGCTTTGATTTTCTAGCTTTTGCACAGATTCTCTGAGATTCTTTATTTTAGACAACCCTTGCCAGGAATCTATACTTATAAAATAAATTTATGAATTCCAAATATTTCATACAATACACAGCAGGAAGAAAAATGCCAATACATTTATAAACCATTTCACAAATACAAAGAGAGGAAAAATAAGTTAAATTAATAAATAACAATAATCCATGATTTAATACTACATTTAATAGTTATAATGTCAGAGCTATTTATTTATTTACTTTTGAGCTAACATCTGTTGCCAATCTTCCTTGTTTTTTGCTTGAGCAAGATTAGCCCTGAGCTAACATCTGTGCCAATCTTCCTCTACTTTATACGTGGGTCGCCACCACAGTGTGGCTGACGAGTGGTGTAAGTCTGCACCCGGGATCCAAACCTGCCACAGAAGCGGAACATGCCAAACTTAACCACTACACAACACGGCTGGTCCCCAGAGCTACTTATTTTTTGTTAGAAGACTGGAAACAGAATTTTAAGTATGTAGATGTGTCTTTATTACAACTCAACTGCAGGGAATGGTGGGGGGCTTTTCTGCCTTCTCTCCCCATACCAGGTCCACATTTGCCCATCCCTTTATTAGCTAAAGAAGGAGGAACCAATCGAACTATTTGATCCCACAGACATTTATTGCACCATGATTACAAGTAAGCAGGCTTGCTCTGCCTAAGAGGCATGGATCTAGGCAGATTTCCTTCTCTTATATCCCTGCTTCAAACCCAGGCATGCAGGAAGTCAGTATACTTTGTCTCTTTCCCCTTTCTTGAACACTGGGAAGTTCAGGAAGAACAGCAGGAACTCGACGTAGGTCTTGAGAACAACAGAGTCCTACACAGGGACTCAGCAGATGCTTCTTTGGTTTTAACAACATGACACCTTGATTTCTCTTGACTATGGGTTCTCCTGTGCAATCCTTTATGATCCCGGTGGGGAGAAAATGTCATTTTCACATAGCATTTAGGCGCCCTGACCCCCACATACATAATACTAACAAAACCCCATCCTCCTTTTAACACAAAGACCTAAAGCAGACAACTATAAGATATCCTTAAAGCAGAGAAAAATATCTATGAAAGAAGGAAGTCATTTAAGCCTAGGAAAGCACAATCTGCATTACCTTCTTAATAAATGCCACCGAAAACGTATCCCAGGACACTATTCCGTGGTCCATCAGCTCAACAAAGGCTGTCAGGGTGAAGGACAGCATGTCTCCAAAGCTGGAAAACACAAGGAGGCATAATGGTGATGGGCCCAAGAGCTGAGCACAAGGAAAGACAGAGAAGCAGGAAAGCTTTAGAAAAATGAATAGAAGCAGAATTGTAAAAGATGGTTGGGATAAGCAACTGGGACACAGACAATTTCCTCACGAACGTGAGTTAACAGGAAGGAGGCAGGTCGGCTTCATGGAGGTGAGTCAGGGCCTCAGTGGGACACACCTGGGCTCACACTGACTCTCACTCTGGCGAGCTGTGTCCTACAGGGCAGTTCACTAACTTCTCTGAGCCTCTGTCTTCTCAGCTGAAAAACTGGATAGTGATACCTATTTAACCACAGGGCTGCTTGTAGAGCACTCAATAAAGTATGTAGCATATAAGCAATCAGTAAATGATAGCTTAAAGAAGAGCTTCTCAGCAAATGAAAGTTAGGGCAACTGAGAGAGGGCAGTGGGCTTCTTCTATTATCCATGGGTACCCAATAGGGAAGATTAGAAATAATTTTATTAAGAGTATTAGCACTTTACAAAGGATTCGCATGGTCTCTATATACCTGTGTGTGCATGTGTGTGTGTGTTTGGGCATGTGCACACACACAAGCACACTTAGATACAAATATATATGTAAGTAAGCATATTCATTTCTATGTTACATTAGTCAGCATGTTATCTTTAGTTAACAGGCTTTATAGAATATCTGTGGAGATAATGACTGTTTGCTGGCCAGACTTGCTGTGATTCTGAAGACCGTAGGGAGGATCTAAAATGTGGGTTAGAAAAACAGAGATCAGGAAAGCTCAGGTAAAAACTCCGTCCTTCTACAATAGCTCCACCCGTGACCCTTATCAGACAATATCCTGGTTCTAGTGCTTTCAAAACAACACTTTAACAGACACTCAGAATCTTTTACAGAAACTCACCTCTATTGTAAATTATCATCATAATAAATTTTAACTTAAAACTCTCAAGATAAGTACTCTCTCTTCTAGTACATTGAATGATGCCCATCAGGATTTCTACACTGTATGCAACTCCACTGATTCATACGCTTGATTTTTAGAAAATAAGGTCAGTTGTTCAGATTTTTAATCTGTAGACTCATATATACCACAATTGCTACACCACAAAGTCTCATAAAATGTTTAGATTGAATCTTCCCAACTATTGTCAATTAATAGAATAGAAAACAGGCTCATATTTATTTTTAAAACAGCTTCGCAATTTCCCTTCTTTCTAGTGTTCTCAGCCCAACCTCAATAACGACCTTGGAAATTCTGCATCACCTCAGAAGCTGTGATGCTGAAGAGAAACCTACAAAAGGGGAACGGCTCTCAGGAAAGGACCGTGACCCAAAGTTGCTGGAGATCAGAGGGCATGAGATGCAATGGACAGAAATGGTTAAGTGGGTGGTTTCTGCCGTCAGACAACAGAGGTTCCCCCTCCAGCTCGGAGTGGGCAAGTTACTGACGCATTCTATGCCTCAGTTTCCTCATCACCAGGAATAGAGATGCTATTAGTCTTCAGGAACTGCTTAAAATGGGGACGACAATGATGATGGTGGTGGTGGAGGTACCTAACTCAGAGGATTGCTGGGGCAATGAAACGAGCTACTTAAAGCCCTCCGAACAGTGTGTTGCAGGTAGAAAGCAGCATGTGCGAGTTAGCTATTATCATTATGCAAAAGTGATATTTTAAAAAGGTAAACAAAGTCCATGATTTTCAAATGTTTGGTTTCATTGCATCAAAGATTCTCTGTCCTTGGAGCCAGGCAAAAAAAAAAAAAAAAAGCTCCAAGGAAAGTTAAACCATCTAGGCCAGATAGAAAAGCAGCAAATACTTTTTTTAAAGGCTTGTCCGAGTCACAGACAGGCAACCCCAATCTTACAGGTGCCCCCTAGGTGGCATCAGAGGATCATGCCTCAAAAAAGAAATTCCAAACCAGAAAAATCAAACTTACTGGGAACAGAGAACAGAAAAAAAAAAAAAAAAAATGGGTTAAAAAGAGTAGCAAGAAAGGTTAAATAAAAATTCCAGAATGATCCTTTCTACAGACAATGAGTCACAAGAAAATCCAAACATCAGATTGCAAAAAAAAAGGAAATTGCCTCAGGAAAATAAGAGAGCCAGGTAATAAAAGCAATTAGTAATATTTATTAATACACTAGGTAGGCATTAATATTACTGTGAAAACATTATTATATAATAATGTACAGTGTTAGTAGTAAACAATATTAGCTATTTTTTTTTTTACTTAGAGGAAAAACAACCATATATATAACTGTAATATACATATATATATAAACCATATAAATAACTATAATAACTAATCATTACCATTTGCTTATATCTGGCATGCTAAAAGACCTCAACCGCTAAAAGATTCCCATATGGTACATGACATTGGAGGCGGGCATCCATGGCTTCCACACAGAGAAAAAGAACCGCCTCAATGTCGCTGCTAACAGAACAAGCCACGGAGCAGGCAGTGACACAGGAATGCACACACTAGTGGAATCAAACTCTTCTTTATAGCCCCTGCAGCTATTTGAGACCAGGAATAGAAATGCTATTAGTCTTCAGGAACTGCTTAAAAAACAAAAGATAAATTATGTTTATGTTCTCTAATTATCTGAAGACAAAACAACTCTGTTTCCCATTCAATGGACCCATAATTCAAATAGCCTTAGTAACATCGGAGGACAGTCCCTCTTCCCAAAAGCTCCAGAACTCTGCCTACAGACTCCTCAGCCAGGCTGCCAGGACCTGGGCGAAAAGATGGAGAGGAGAAAGAGTATCATTTGGTTTCCATATCTCCAAGCTGCTCTGGAGCCAGCATTTCAATCTGCACTGTTGTTAAGGAGGTGGAGCACTATTTCTGAGACTGCAGACTCAGCTTTCTGTGCTTTGCAATCATCCGTGAGTGTGAATGGTGGATAAGGGAGAGAAAAGCTTCTTTGCATCATACACCAAGGTGCACAGAGGAAGGATCACTCTCTTGGTCCATCTCTTAACATTGTATATAAATGTTATATAATTTATATTTAAATTTACATTTTATATAAATGTTATTACCTAATAACATTGTATATATACATTTTATATATTTAATATATAATTATATTTTATATAGATTATATTATAGACATTTAATATACATTGTATACATTATATTATATATAATCATGTATATCATATATTATATATACGATGTAATATGTTATGAGATACATTATGTCTATATATGTTGTATCATATATTATAAAATATAACACAGTATATACATAGTGGGTGTGTGTATATATATATATATATATATATATAACATATATAAATCATCATGACTGGTTGCTGTATGGCATACTAGGTTTCCATGAGGGGGAAATTTTTCAAAATTCAATTTCAAACCCTCAGTTGCACGGAAAGAATGGTCATGCTAAAATTTTATTACATTCCAAATCAAGGGACTCAATTACCTCATTTCAAATGAGGCAGCTATAAAAGCTCTTATGGAACCCTGACATAGATGTTTATTTCCACTCCTAGAGGAGTGATTCAGGCTGCAAAGAGGGAAGGCAGGAGCCAAGGCCCTGTCTCTGAAATCAATGCTGGGTGCGGAAGATCAAGGCTAAAAGAATTATAAATATCAAGCAACCACATGGCACATGTGGGAGCATTTTTATTTGTTTGGTTTATTTGTTTTTTATAAAGTGCTAAGCTAAAGATTTTGCAGTACTGACTGCCATAAATGAAGCCGACTGCAGACTTTACATGCTGGTTGAGAGCCATGTCACAGCCAACACACCATGTGTACTGGAATGATTCAAATAAATGTTTTTCAGCAGCTCAATAGAGACCATCTTCATTCCAACAAAATTCACCCAATCTCAAAGCATTTACACTTATGCTGCTAAATTTATAAAAGAATAGTGCTTCAAAAAATTTCTATTGGGTGACATACCCAAGACAGAAGCGGGGAACAAAGAAAAGAAAGGCCACTTTTAAAGCTATTAATAAATCATACTGAATGTATCCTTAATTGCCAAAGTTAAGGAATATAGTTCTGCCCTGCCCTTTGAGTTTTTCCAAGTGTTTTGTTTTGTTTGTGGTAAAATTTATATACATTGAAATGTATGGATTTCTAAATCACCCTTTAGACATTCCCTCAGCCTTCAGAATCAAAGCATGACATGTCAGCAAACATTCTTTTGGCTCTTTTGTTGAAAATTTCACTGCAGATCAATTCTGGACTCTTTAGTCTATTCCACTGATATGTCTATTCGCTTATACAAATCTCATACTGTCTCAATAACTAACTTTATAGTAAGTGTTGAAGTCAGTTAATAAAATCCCCCAACTTTGTTGATCTTTGTTGTTTTTCCAAGACTATTTTGGCTATTCTATCCAGCTCCTATGCATTTCCTTTAAGTTTTAGGATAGGCTTGTAATTTCTTTTTAAAAAATTGTATAGCATTGAACCTACAGATTAATTTGGAGAGAATTGCTATCTTAACAATATTGTGTCTTCCAATCCACAAAATGGTATATTTTCCACTTAATTAGGTCTTCTTTAATTTCTTTGAGCAATATATTTATTTTTCAGTAAATAGATATTGCATGTCTCCTGTTAAATTTATTCCTAAGAATTTTATGATTTTTTATTTTAAAGATTTTATTTATTTATTTTTCCCCCCAAAGCCCCAGCAGATTGTTGTATGTCATAGCTGTACATCCTTCCAGTTGCTGTACGTGGGACGCGGCCTCAGCATGGCCGTAGAGGCAGTGCGTTGATGCGCGCCCGGGATCCGAACCCGGGCCGCCAGCAGCGGAGGGTGCGCACCTAACCGCTAAGCCATGGGCCGGCCCAAGAATTTCATGATTTTTGATGTTTTGTAAACGGAAATTTTAAAACTTCATTTTCTAGTTGTTTGCTGTTAATGTATAAAAATACATTGTTTTTATATACTGATGTTGTATCCTGAAACCTTGCTTAATTCAATTATGAGA